GTTGGGGGGGGGGGGTGGCTCCTGAACTAGGGCTCCCCAGTCCTGCGTAGTAGAAACCCGACTCCCGTAGAAACCCGACTCCCGTTTCTCCAGCTCCTTTCTAACACTCCATTCTGGGGGAGGCTCCCTTCAGTTTGGGACTTGGGGGTGGTGGGGAAGGAGGGAGCTCATAGGCCCAGCCAGGTACTTGTTGAAGGTGTGACAAGGGACTTGGAGGTGACCGAGGGACTTGTGAAGGCCAAGGGACCAGACCACGACCTCTTAGAAGGTAACAGGGCACAGGGGATGCTGCAGAGGAGAGCACCCACTGTCCGGCAGAGGCCACTTTGTACCTTTGAGACCAGCCTGGAAGGGCCACCAGAGCATGGATTCTGACCCGCAAGCTGCTGAACTCCTCCAAGCCTGTTTCTTGATCAGGCTTCATCAGGCTAAAACGGGGATATTAGTATCCATTTCTCAGAGCTTTGTGCAGATTAAGAAAAATGTCATATGAAACCACCCAGCATAATGCTTGGCACATCGGGGGTACTAGCAAATCTTAGTCTTCCTTTGCTCTCTGACAAAAGGGAGCAGTTACTTGTTCCCAACCCCTCTGTCCCCAGATTGATCACGGACAGACACAGCAGACGTGTAATCACTGTTTGTTGAATGAACATGCTTGACGGAGCTACAGCGCTTACCTTCCTTCTCCCAGGATCCCCAGGCGGAGCTCAGGAGCTGACCAGCACAGACATGCCAGTGTTGTCTGAGGATTCCGGTGAGTGTGACCCCTGGCTGGGCTGCCATAGCCCTGAAGGACAAGAGCCTGCTCAGCAGCCCGAGGCTGGACAGAAAGCAGGTGGACCCAGCCCTGGCTCATGGGAGCGGCCTTACCTGCGAACCCTGGGAACCAGAGCCTGGGGAGAGAACATGTCCATACGGCAGGGTCCACTTTGGGTCCCCTGGGGTCCCCAGGAAGTACCCATTGCATTGGCTCTACTTTGTGTTTCTTCCCCTCTCCTCAGGTTTGCACGAAACCCTGGCACTGTTGACTTCTCAGCTCAGACCTGACTCCAACCACAAGGAAGAGATGGGCTTCTTGAGGGATGTGTTCAGTGAAAAAAGCCTCAGTTACTTAATGAAGGTAAAAGCCTCATTTCATCCCATTTCGTGAAGGTTTCTAGAGGTTTTCCTAGCCGGGGCCCACGCACTTCATCTCAACCTTTTCCCTCCCCCAGGAAGGTCTTCATTAGCCCACTGTGAATGGCTTTCTCTTCTGCTGTCCCACCGGTGACCCCACGGGTGCAGCCCCGTGCAGCCCCACAGTCATGGGCAGGCTGTGTGGTATCCGGGGCACACCGGGGCAGCTGACTTGGGAGGCCCCAGCCTGAAATCGGCTGTCTTTGCAGATTCACGAGAAGCTGCGCTATTACGAGAGGCAAAGTCCAACCCCAGTTCTGCACAGCGCTGTGGCCCTTGCTGAGGATGTAAGCCAGGTTTTTCCTTACGGTGTTAGCCCTGCTCCCTACCCCGTAGGCCTCCTTCATGTTGCCTGTCACCATCGCTTAGCCTAGGGGACCCAGGGGCTCGGAGCCCAGAGGTGAAGAGGCATCTCCTTCCCTTCTCTTCTTGCTCCTCCTTGGGCCTCCTAACAGGAAGGAAAGAACCTGTGAGCCTTGCACGAGGCCAGGGGACTCGGGGACACAATGACGCCCACTTACTGTGTGTTCCCGAGAAAGTCTCTTCCCCCAGCTGTGAAATGAGAGCATTTGGATCAGATCAGCAGTTCTCACATTGTTGAGGACTGGCGATATGAAGGTCAAACAATCACCTTGTTCTGTGCTTTGGGGGAGGCCCCATGTAAAGCCCTAGGATCCAAAGACTTGCAGTGCGTCCCTGCTTACTGGTTCGGGGTTCTTGTTATTTATTTATTTGTTGTTTGTTTGTTTGTTTGTTTAGAGAGGCAGAGAGAGAGAATGCGAGCAGGGGAGGGGGAGAGAGCGAGGGAGACAAGAGGGTCCCAGCAGTTTCTGCGTTACCAGCGGGGCTCAAACCCACAAACTGTGAGATCATGACCTGAGCCAAAACCAAGAGCCAGACCCTTAACCGAATGAGCCACCCAGGCGTCCCAGCATTCTTGTTTTTTACAGGAATGCTTCTAGGGGTGCCTAGGTGGCTCAGTCAGTTAAGCATCTGACTTCGGCTCAGGTCATGATCTCTCGGTTCGTGAGTTCGAGCCCCACATCAGGCTCTGTGCTGACAGCTCAGAGCCTGGAGCCTGCTCCAGATTCT